AGGAGGGACCATGGGGAGGGACCACGTGGAGGCACCACAGGAGGGACCACGGGAGGGACCCCAGGGAGGCACCACGGGGAGGGACCACGGGGAGGCACCATGCAGAGGGAACGTGGGTACTCGACGGCCCCCTCCTGGCCACCCCGCCCGCTCACCCAGAGCTCCTCCAGCAGGGCCACGGCCTCCTCGCCGCTCTGGGGCCCACGGCTGCACACCCAGGCCTGGATGTCGGCGGGGAAGGCGCTCAGGAACTGCTCCAGCACCAGCAGCTCCAGCATCTGCTCCTTGGTGTGCACCTCAGGCCGCAGCCAGTCCCGGCAGAGCGCGCGCAGCAGGCCCAGCGCCTCGCGGGGGCCCGGCGCGTCGCCCAGGTGGAAGTGCCGGAAGCGGTGCCACGGCGAGTCCAGGGCCAGGCCCTCGGCAGCCCGCTGCTCCTGCTTCACGGGCGGGGGCGGCAGGACCTGCTGTGGGGGGGCCGGGACTTCCATGGGGGCCGGCGAGCCCAGGCGGGACAGCGGCACCTGTGGGGAGGGAAGGTCAGCATGGTGAGAGCCCAGCTCTGTCATTCCGGAATCTTCCGCCTCCCACCGTGAACTGGATGAGAGAGCAGGGGCGCGGGGTCTGGAACCACACGGCAGCATCCCCACTGAGGAGCGGACTGACCTGGAGTAAGTGAGGTCACCTCTCAGTGCCTCAGTTTCCCTCCTGTAAGACGACGCGCTCGCCTGCCTTGTGTGGCCGGGGGGAGGGCTGCCTGAGAAGGAGCCTGTGAGGAGCTGCCCTCGGTGCCCACATACAACAGGTGCCAAAGCAGGGGGATTATGATCCCCCTGCTGGGACGGACGGGTCCAAATCCTGGCTCTGTCCCTCTCTGCGGGGGAACCTGGGCACCCCTGTCCCTCAGTCTCCCCCCACGGCTTTGTTGTGAGGATTAAACAAGAAAACACACACAAGGGCTTTAGAACAGGGCCTGGCCCGTAGCAAGTGCTCAACAAATGAGAGTTATCAGCAGCAACATCAGTATCACAACCGCTCTGCCCCGACTAGATACCAAACCCTACGTCCCCGCGGCAGACACTTTAAGATGCCTCCTCAAAAGCGACCCTCCAGTCTTCCCTCCCAACTGCTGTGGACTGAACCGTGTCCCCACATTCAATACGTTGAAGCTCTAACCCCAGTGTGACTGGATTTGGAGACGGGGCTGTTAGGAGGTGACTGGGATTAAATGAGGTCATAAGGGTGGGTCTGAATTGGTAGGACTGGTGGCCTTGTAAGGAGAGGAAGCGCTTTCTCTCTCTGCCACGTAAGGACACAGCAAGAAGGCGGCCATCTGTGTGCCAAGAAGGGGTCTCTCCAAAAACTGACCCTGCTGGCACCTTGATCTTGGACTTCCAGCCTCCAGACCGTGAGAAATCCCTGCATGTTGCTGAGCCGCCCCGTCTGTGGTGTTGTGTTCTGGCGGCCGAGCTGCCTGAGACACTAACAGGCCCCCACCACGTCTGGGCACTGGGCAGGGTGGCAGACTGTAAGAGTCCCCACATCCTTTCTCCATTGTCCTTTTGGTAACACCCCAGCCCCCCGAGGAAGCTGGTGCCCCCCAAGTCCTTCTCCCCCTGCCTGGAGGGAACACAGATGCGGCAGTGGCCTCAGTTACAAGGCTGACACAAGAGCCCAGAGCAGTGGTTCTCAACCAGGAACCCTTGGATATGTCAGGGGACATTTGTGATTGCTGGACGGGGGCAGGGTGAGCGGTGCTGCTGGCGTCCAGCGGGTGGAGGCCAGGGACGCTGCTAAGGACCCTACAGTGCACAGGCCTGCCCCACGGCAAAGAGGGATCCAGCCCCAAATAAACCCTGGTCTAGAACCACAGTCCTCGAATAGTCTGGGGACCCCTGGGGGTCCCCGAGATCCTTCCAGGGGGTACTGAGGTCAGAACTGTCTTCCTCATACATGAAGACATCATTTCCTGTGCCACCCTCGTTCTCTCCTGGTCGTACACTGGGGTCTCCCAGAGGCTGCCTGGCCCCAGGCTGAACACAGAAGCAGACACGAGAGCCCAATTATCTTCTTTTAAGTCAGACACTGAAGAGATTTGCAAAAAAAAGATGCCACATTTCCAATTTTTCATTTTGGAAAATGTGCTTATTCTTCATATGAAAAATGTTATTTATGTTAACCTATGAAGAGCTGATTGCTGCTATTTCTAAATGCATTAGTACCTTGGAATTTTCTCGGCCTTAATTTCTAGCATAATACGCACCCATGGCTACAACTCCCATAAACAAAAGCGTCTTGGGGTCCTCAACAATTTTTTTTTTTAATTTATTTTTTCCCCCCAAAGGCCCCAGTAGATAGTTGTATGCCATAGCCGCACATCCCTCTAGTCGCTGCACGTGGGACGCGGCCTCAGCATGGCCGGAGAAGCGGCGCACCAGTGCGCGCCCGGGATCCGAACCCGGGCCGCCAGCAGCGGAGCGCGCGCACCTAACCGCTAAGCCACGGGGCCGGCCCCCTCAACAATCTTTTAAGAGTATAAAGGGGTCCTGGGTTCAAAACCCTTGAGAACCCCCCCCTTCAGCCTGTCTTTTTAATAAAGTTTTATTGGCGGGTGGCCAGGCCCACCTGCTCTGCACCATCCACGGCTGCCTCTGAGCTCCAGCCGCAGACACAGGACGGCCTGCGAGGCTGCCCGCCTGGCCAGGGATGTTTACTCTCTGGGTCTTTCCAGAAAACGTCTGCTGAGCCCTGACTTGAAGGACAGTGGAAGAACAAGACAGGAGGGACCCTGGAGGACCCTGTGGGGAGCGACACTGATGCATTCTAGAATGCCTCTGGACTGTCACGTGAGAAAATGGTAAGCTTTCCTATCTTATTTGAGCCACTGTATTTTGGGGTCTCTGTTGCAGCAGCTTGGCCTCGATGGTAACAACTACAGGACAGGTCCCCTGCCCACAAGGCAGGGGCGGACACGGGCTCGGGCTCCAGCCAACGAGACTGAAGAGGAAGTCTGCGTTTGGATGACTTTTCTCTCCACACAAGAGCGGCTACCCAGGGCCCCTCTGTCTGGAGCTCTTCCCTGTGGGGGAAGAGGAGCGCGTGGCACCCCACAGCCACGCTGTGACCGTTTGAAGAAAATGGAAGAGACACAAGCTCGGGCTCTGCCTGTGACATCCCACTAAACCCGTCCCAGGAAAGTCCACTCCCCGCTTCTTGTCACATAAAAGTGAAGAACCCCAGGTGGCCGGGCCTGCTGTCACCCGCAGCCGAGAGCACTGCGAATGGACGGCGCCACACACTCTCACATCTCATAGACCGTCACCTCCACGTCACCCCGCGGAGCTACAACGATGACACAGGGGACAGTTCACTTACTGGGCGCTGTGCCCGGCAGCAAGCGAGTGCTCTGCAGACACCTCTGGGTCTTCCCAGCGGCCCTCTGCAGGGAGGGCCCGCGGCCAACCCCCTTTCACAGGAGGCTTCCAGTGGCAGAGCTGAAACGGCCCCGGACCGCCTGAGCCCAAAGCCCCCGCTCCCGACCACCATGCGCCATTAACCACAGACGCCATCTCACTCCTGGGACAGCTGCCACAAGCCCCCTCGGCGTCGCCCTGCTCCCACGCCGGCCGCCCTAGAGTCACATCACCCCACGGCAATCAGAGTGATTTTTTCCTCAGTGTAAATCACATTATGTCACCTCCCTGCTCCAGACCCTCCGACTGCTTCCTGTGGTACTCAAATAAAAACCAAACCCCTTGCTCTGCCCAGGTCTGCACCTGCCTACCTTTCTCGTCTCTTACCCTTCTCTCCCGGCTCCTGCACTCCAGCCACACTGGCTCCTATTTATCCTCTCAGATTTAAGGCTAGTCCTACCTCAGGGCCTTTGTACCTCCCACTCTCTCCCTCCCCCGACCGTCGCTCAGCTGCCCGCTTCTCATCATTGACGCCACGAGGCAATTCTTCCCTTCTCAGAGAGCCTCCCCAAATCATCCAAGTAACGTAGCATCCACACACCATTCCCGGTGGTTGCTATCATGTCACTGATTAATTTTCTTTTTAGCATTTAACAATACCTGGCATTATTGTATTTCTGTGCTGTCTTCCCTCACAAGAACTTAAGCCTCACGAGGGCAAGAGACCACATACACAAAGCCGAGCACACTGGTTGGCACGCAAAGAAAATTTACAGGATGATCAGTCCTATGAGATTAGTATACTGCCCCCATTTTGCAGATGGAAAAAGCAAAGGCATCTTGCCCAAAGTCACCCAATGAATAAGAGGCAGAGCCTGAATTCACACCCGTGTCCGTCAGGCTCCAGAGCTGGTCTGCAGCATCAACTCCACCCACCCATCCTCCCCTTAAGGACTGACTAGCCCAGGAGCAGCAGGGAAGGCTTCCCAGAAGATGTGGTCCACAGCCGAGTCTCGAAAGATGCACAGAAGCCTGCTCTGCCGTGAGAAAGATCCCTCTGGGACAGGAGTGGAATCTGAGGGAGCAAGGCCTCGGGCATTAAGCTGAAGGGCCCTGCAACCTCAGGGAGGAGCACAGGTCCCCGCGTTCCCGCCTGTCCACAGCGAGCTCCTCAGGGCAGGTGCGCAAGGGCTCTTCTCTGGGTCCTGGGGTCACTCAGCCCAGGGTCTGCCCCAAGAAAGCACATACTAAGTGACAGGTAAGGTCATTCCACGGTGTAAACCAACGCTATCATCCAGTGAGGGTCCAGGCCTTCTGTGGCTGCCACAGCGCCCTGTGCTGCCTCCACGAAAGCACCTGTAACACTCCTCGGTCTGTCAGTGTCCTGTAGCATTGTCGTGCCCAGCCAGGCACTGTGGGGCCTCAGGAGACGGCCACTGAGTGGCATCTGTCTACAGTGCCCCACTCAACGCTCCCAACAGCCCTGTGAGCTGGGGAGATGGATCCCACCGTGGAGGAGAAATGGACACTCACAGAGTGACAGAGGCAGGATTCGAACCCGGAACTGTATGACTCCAGAGCCCACGCTGGTTCCACCCAGCACGCGTGTTGGATTAATTAAACGGTTAAGGATGGGCTCTGGAGCTTGGCTGCCTGGCTTCAGCTTTCAGCTCTGCCATTTATCCGCCATGTGACCTTGGACACGTGACCTGCCCTCTCTGAGCTTAATTTCCCCATCTGTAATACAGGACTAGTAATATTAGCTCCTTCCCCACAGGGGTTACTGGGAGCATGAATCACAAGTGGCCCAGCATCGAGTAAGCGCTCAGTGGAGACCTGTCTATTCCAGGGTCTCCTAACGTGGCACTAGCCATATTTGGGGCTGGATAACTCTGTGTCGTGGCGGCTGTCCTATGCTTTTTTAGAGCATCCCTGGCCTTTTTCCACCAGATGCCAGTAGTATCACCCCAACTGTGACAACCAAAAACGACTCCCAATATTGCCACGTGTCCCCCGGGGGGCAAAATCGCCCGTGGTTGAGAGCCACTGGTGCACGGGACAAATATTTACTCAGCACACAAGGGCTCTGGAGCAAATCCCAGCTCTGCCACCTACCAGCTATCTGTCCTTGGACAAGGTACAATGGGACCTTTCACACACTTAATCTCCACTTCTGGGCAGTAAAATGGGGGGGCAAATCATACGAACCCAAGAGTCATCGGAAGAATTCAAGATATAAGGAAAACAAAGATGCTGAGGGCACGAAGCTAGCCCTCATCCAGGGTTAGCGTTTAAACGATTGTTACTTTCTGACGTGCTCCGCATACGCTATTAACAAAGCAAGCACACGCACTGAAATCTAACTATAAATCGGAATAAGCATTAAAAGAGGAAATAAAGAAGGGTGATTCGATGCTGACCCGGGTAGAGGTGGGGAGGGGGCAGCTTCTGGTGATGCTCATAGCAGACACAGCCTCGAAATACTGTACACCCATTAACGAATTTAATCCTTTGCAACAAGCTAATAAAGTGGGTACTCTTCATCAAAAGGAAGAAAGAAAACAAGACAACCTTATCCTCAGGAATCTCACAACTCCATTAAAATGAAGTGTGACTGCACTTGTACAAGCGGCGCACAGAATGAACAACCTGCACCCCATCTACGCCAAGACGACGACCTTCCCCCAAAGCCGCTGCCCGCAAGCAAGCCTTTCCGACGGGGTCGGTCCCGGCGCCCCCAGACTCCTCGCAGGGCCCAGCCCCTCCCCTCCCCTCCCCCTCCCCCTCCCGTTCTC